CCGGGTAGGCTGTAAAAAACGAAGAAAGGACTAAGATGGCGATCTGTACTTTCAACGCACGAACGCTTGCATCCGAAGCTCACATCGAAGATCTGATGATGCAGGCCAGGAAGATCAAGTACGACGTCATCGGACTGACCGAGACGAGAAGGCACCGCCCGCTACACGCCGTTTTCGATACTGGAGAAGAACTGTTCCTTGGAACATGCGACAGCAGAGGCGTTGGCGGTGTGGGTGTCCTCGTCAACACGCACTTGGCCATAAACATCGATTCGTACGAAAGCCTTACGACCCGAATCGGACGTTTGATTGAGAAGATGTGGTTCAACTCCTGCTTTGACAATCTTCGTCGCCTACGCACCAACATCGAGCTACGACGAGGAGGAACACGAAGCATTTTATATGGAATTGGAGAAGTTCTACAAGGAAGATCATACCTTCTTCAAGGTCATCGTCGGCGACTTCAACGCCAAGATTGGCCCGAGAAGAACGGGCTGAAGAACTTCACATCGGTACTCACGGAATGGATTGGAATGAGCAGGGCGAAAGACTGTCTGAGTTTATCATGTCGACCAACACCATCCATGGTAACTCGCAGTTCCAGAAGCCCTCTCACCTTCGTTGGACTTGGGAGTCACCTGATGGACAGTTCCATAACGAGATAGACCACATCATCTTCAATCGAAGGTTTTGCCTGACCGACGTCGCTGTTGTTCCAAAGTTCTACACGGGATCGGACCATCGTCTCCTCCGCGCAAGATTCCACTTCTCGATGCGTGTTGAGAGAGCAGCAAAGTTCAGGAAGCGAAGCCCCAGGACAGTCATCAACTGGGACCACTTCGCTTCCCTCGTCAGCTTATGGGAGGATTCCGTCATCGAAAACATCGACGAGGAGTACTATCGGCTCGTTGAACATCTTCACGATTGTGGCAAGAAGGCAGAGAGTTTGAAAGTCACCAAGGGACGTCTGTCTCCGGAAACTCTCGAACTGATACGCCAGCGTGGAGCCGCACGAGCTGCAGGCAATCACCGACTCACGTCCGAGCTTGCGAAGCTATGCAGAGAGGCGATAAAGGAAGATCTCAAGGAGCGAAGAGCAGCAGTATTAGCTGAAGCAGCAGAGGCTGGGAGGAGCATCCGCAATGCCCGCCGAAGCTTTGCCAGCTACAAGACCAAGATGACCTGCCTCCGACGTCCAGATGGAACAGTTACTGCATCCCGAAGGGCAATGGAGAAAGTCATCCACGACTTCTACTCGGATCTCTTCGATAGCCATGTCCATCTGCCTACTTATCAACCGCAAGAGGATGGATACGTTGTCCCTTCAGTTCTCTCTTCCGAAGTCCGACACGCCATCAAGTCGGTGAAGAATTGTACAGCGCCCGGTCTCGACAGGGTTAAACCGGAACATCTGAAGAACGCACCGCCAGTTATCATCAGAACTCTGGCTCGACTCTTCACGCGCTACCTGTCGGAATGCAAGGTACCCACTCCGTGGAAAACCAGCAGGACCGTGTTGCTGTACAAGAAGGGAGACTTGGACGACATTGGCAACTATCGCCCAATCTGCCTGCTGTCTGTAATCTACAAGCTATTCACACGAGTCATCCTTAACAGGATCGGCAGAATACTAGATGAAGGACAGCCATGCGAGCAAGCAGGGTTCCGAAGAGGGTTCAGCACGATCGACCATATCCACACGGTTACGAGACTCATTGAAGTTTCACGGGAGTACAAGATGCCGCTTTGTCTCACGTTCATCGACTTGAAGAAGGCCTTCGACTCTGTGGAGACAGAAGCGGTCATCGAAGCCTTGGGCAACCAGGGCGTCCCTACTCAGTACATCAAGATTCTTCGTGAGCTCTACAGCAACTTTACGACCAGAATCTCACCATTCTACAAGGAGGTCATCATCGACGTCAAGAGAGGGGTCCGACAGGGCGACACCATCTCGCCCAAACTCTTCAGCGCCGCTCTCGAGAACGTCATGCGTCAACTGGAATGGGAAGACATGGGAGTGAAGGTCGACGGCCGGCAACTACACCACCTTCGTTTTGCTGACGACATCGTTCTTATAACGCCGAACATCGAGCAAGCGGAGCGAATGCTGGCTGATTTCGACTGCGCCTGTGGTAAGGTTGGTCTACAGCTGAACCTAACGAAGACGATGTTTATGAGAAACGGATTGGTTTCTGATGCCCCATTCACGCTCAACGGAACGAACATCACCGAATGCTCCAGCTACGTGTACCTAGGTCGGGAAATCAATATGATGAACGATCTAGCTCCAGAGCTGAGCAGGAGGAAACGAGCGGCTTGGGGAGCGTACAAGAACATCGAGGGAGTAGTGAAGAAGACGAAGAACATCCGGCTCCGTGCCCACCTCTTCGATTCCGCTGTCCTTCCTGCCCTAACCTACGCCTCAGAGACTTGGACTCTGCGCAGGCAGGACGAGCATGCGGTCAGCGTTATCCAACGCGCTGTCGAGAGGACGATGCTAGGAGTAACCCTATACACGCAAGTGCAGAGGGGAATCCGGAGTGCCGAACTACGCCAACGATCGAAGATCAGGGACGCTGCCGTTTTCGCCAAGGAATCGAAGATAAGGTGGGCCGGACACGTCATGCGATTTTGCGATGACCGTTGGACCAGAGCGGTTACCGACTGGATCCCTCGGGACGTCAAACGAACACCTGGACGACCGCCGGCCCGATGGTCAGACTTCTTCACGAAAGCTCTGAACGAAAGGAATGATGGACTTCGTGTCCCTCGAGCAAGGAGGATCCACTGGACCACCCTAGCACGCGACAGGGACGAATGGAGACGTTGCTGGCGCCCGCTCGAGCAAATCGACGATCAACGGGACGACAGGTGATATTTTCACCCAATCGACTGGTAATCGCATGAGCGCAAAATTGTTATCCAAGCTACCGTATCTCAAGTTTTGCAACTTCACTGAGCAATTAAGTTACTCCGAAGTAATAAAACATCCACTATAACCTGTGTAGTCCATTGTGCGGCGAATTCTGAAATATTCAGAGCTTCTCCATTCGGCCCTTTGGTTTTGGAACCAGCGTTCTCCAACGCATCCCAAAAATCTTCCGAATCTGCGTTACCGTATGAGTAGTTCTTGAGGAAACGCTGAAATTCGTGGGATAATAAGGCTAAAAAGAACTTGAAAAAAAAACCGCCCAATGTTAAAGCCACAAATGCTACCTTGACTCCTTTCTCGAAGTTCTTCTCTCCCATCAGGGCAATGATCATGGCAATAAGCGAGGCCCCTTTGTCATATGTCACAGGATTGAAAACCTCCATAACATCTGATGGATTGTTTAACTCGAAATATAGAGGATGACTTGCAGGAAATGAATCTAACCCAAGAGCAGGTTCCAGCTTATCAACAACAAACAAATCTTTCTGAAATGAGAACGATTGGTCATTGTTATTGATCACGTTCGATGTTTCTTCAAAAATCTCATACCAATTTCGAAGCACCTTTTCTTACTGCATCTAATGCAATGAATTCCATGTAGGATGCGAAACTTTCACTCAGCCACAGATCGTCCCACCACTGCATTGTAACTAAGTCCCCAAACCACTGGAAACAATGTGAACAGAGATATGAACTGCCTTTTAGTACTATTTAAGCCGCTAACTTAGTGTGTTTGTTCATCGGTATGTATGCAGACTGGTGTTTGCATCAACGAGAAGCGCATCGATGCGGAAATCAACAGGTAAGGAAGTTGAAATACTAATTTTGGCGTGAGGTCCAAAAACCTGGCAGGAATATTTGGGAGACCTAACAAATTTGGCATGAGGTCCAAAGACCTCGCAAATATTTGGGAGACTTAACAGCCAAGATGGTTCGGAGAATATGTGCCGACTTAGTCATTGCTGAGATTCTTTCACAATTCAACATGGACTCACACCTGACGAGACCCATAGGAACTTCTTTCAGGTGAAATTTCATCTCATAAATGGGACGTATGCACACTCCCTTTCAAAAAATGAGAAGAGCGTCGGGTGCAGACCATACACCACAAGTGACGACGGCCTCCACAAAATGTAAATGTTTTCTGCCAATGAAATGATTAGCCTGTTGCAGTTGTATTCTATCAGTTGTCACTAATTACAACTATCATTTACCAAAAATCAGCTATCACTATGAACCACTACTAACCAGATTTACTTGGAGGCCGTCGTCACTTGTGGTGTATGGTCTGCACCCGACGCTCTTCTCGTTTTTTTGAAGGGAGGGTAACACCGCAGGCACCACTCAAGTCATTCTATCTCCTCGGCGCACCTTGTTCCAGAAACTCGAGGTAAGGAATCTCAAAGAATCAACCACGACCTGATGCCTC